ATAGCACTCACGCTATCATCAGAGAGTTTAATGTTTAAAAAAAAAAACCAAAAAAACAAAAAAACACTGAATATAGCTGCTTCCAGCTGGCTCCGGAAGTTCCCATTAACCAATGCAATCAACAATGGAGAGAAAAAGCTTTTAAAAGCTGCCATATTTCTAAATATATCTTTATGACAATCTGTAAAATCTGAAAGGGTTTAATATGGTGTAATATAATAAAATTGGTCCGTTTTCTCACCATTTAGATTTCAGCTGAGAGATAATTTTATTTCTCAGAAGACTTCTGAGTTCCCTTTCCCTCCAAACATTTTTAAAGAGACCGGATTCTGGTCCATTGAGAGAGCTTAGCAAGCACAGGTGCTTGCCACCAAGCCTGATGACCTGAGGGCTAGCTCTGGAATCCACATGGTGGAGAGAAAGAATTAACTCCCACAGGCTGTCCTCTGATGTCCACATTTTTGCCATGGCCTGTGTATACACATATACACTAAATAAAATGTAACAAATAGAAAAAACAAGAGACAGGCTGTTACTGCTAGACATGGTGGCTCATGCACTTGAGAGGTCGAGGCAGGATGATCAAAAGTTCAAGACCAGCTTTGGCTATTTATCAACTTTGTAGACTCGGGTACATGACACCCTATCTTAAAACAGGCTGTGTCAGATAGTTGTGGGTGGTGGTGGCGCACACCTTTAAACCTAACATTTGGGAGTCAGAGGCAGGTGGATTTCTGTGAGTTCAAGGTAAGCCTGGTCTACAGAGTGAGTTATAGGACAGCCAGGTCAGGCTGTGTCAGATAAAGGAAAGGGGAGAAAGAGAAGGAGGCAGAGTAGAAGGGATTGCTTTTCTTTAAAGTTTGGTTTTCATCATCTCATGTCTCATATTCAGAGGGAGTAACCAGCGTGCCTCAGTTTCCACTTCTGTACTTGGGTTAAAAGATCCAAAGAAGGCTGCTACAAGCACTTACTGAGATGGAGGCATGTCAAGGGCTTTGGACAGGACTTGATGCCAATTAAATCCTTTGACTTAATGTGTTAGCTGTTGTTAGCACCACCAACACTACCGAGACTACCACCATCACCACCATCATCACCACCATCACCACCACCAGCACCACCACTGCCATCATTGTATCTTGTGTCCTCCATTGAGTTTCAAGCCTACACATGCCTAGAAATGTTTGCCAAATTGAGTATCTATTTTTTAAGTGGATGTTAAAAATGGTTTTAGTAACTAGCTTGGTTAGTGTGTGTGAGATATTCAGGAAATTTGCTTTTGTGGTCTTTCTTCACTTGCTCTGTACCCTCAGAGATTCATAAAGCTCTCGTTAAGGGAACTCAAGTGTTTTGTGCAGGGATGCTATCTCCTAGTATAGCCAATTGGTAGAATTAAATACTGCAGGGCCTCTGAACCAACGCAGCACAGACTGTGTTTAACCTACTGACCCGAGCGGGCACATGTTTAAAAATTCTCTTTATTTTCAAGCAGTGATTTAGAAACTTGCTAGCTACTTCAAGGTTTTCAATTATTTTTCTTTGCTTGGCTTTTAAAGAATATAACCATTTCCCAATACAAGTAATTTTCTTCTGGTCTAAGACTGTGGATTGTGGCAACACAGCATTTAGTTTGTCTTAAAAAAAAAAAAAATAGACACTGATCTGCTCCTATCCTGTTTTTAGGACTCCTTATTGTTAGGAATCCTTTCCATTTATTTCTAGTCCTTACTGTTTGCCTTCCTCTGTATATGTATTCTCATATGTAATCAGTCTCTATGTTGCTCTGTCTCTGTCTTTCTCTCTGTCTCTGAGACACTGTCCTTGTTCTGTGAACACGAAAAAATAAAGGCTATCAGGTTCTACCTTGTTTTCCCAGTCTCCTAACACTTAAGAACTTGCTGGTACATGGTTGGTCCTGGCTTTTGAAATTACTAAATGATGTTGGCCCCTTATCTGAAGGAAGAGGCTCCCTAGTTTTAGAACAAAGGTTTTTGTTTTGTTTTTTGTTTTTAAATGTTACTATTTGTTTTCTCCCTGTTGATTTGTTGGCTTTTAAAGACAGGGTCCCACTGTGCAGCTCAGACTGACTTCAAACTGGTCATCCTCCTGCATCATCTTCCCAAGTGCTATCTTCAGAGTCATGTGCTGCCATGTGTGAGTGATCATGCCATACGGCTTTTGTTTGTGGTCTTCATTTAGAACATTTTATGATTGTTTGCTTTAAAAAATACATTTAGAATGTGTTTTGTGTGCTAGGTGCCCTTTCCTAATTGGCTTGCCATGTTAAGGGTTATTAATGATGCACTTTCACCTAGGAGCCACAGCCCTAGGAGGGTTCTCTTACAGGCATTGCCTTTCTTTTGCAATGATTTCCTCATAGCCACCAATGCTGCATTTTATATTTATATATATTTAAAACTTACTATTCTCTTTTGGAGGAGGAGGCAACTTCACACCAATATTCACTTATTTTTAATTAGTATACAAATTATTGGGCATCATTCAGATATTTTCAAGCTGTATTTTGTTGTAGTTGACATGCTTTCCGTTTCATTGCCTGCCTCAACAGCACTGTCCTTTCTACTTTCCTGTCACAGGTATCCTCTGCCTCTGTTCAGCCTCTCTTTTTCATCCTCTTTTGGCTCCTTTTAAAAAAAGGCTTCACCCACAGCTATATTTTTACACGACAATTCGGATCCACATACGAGAGAGAACAGGATTTTTCTTTGTTCTTTGTCCTTCTGAGTTTGGGTCACCTCCCTTAATACAATACTTCTGTGGTGGTGCACACCTTTAGTCCCAGCACTCGGGAGGCAGAGGCAGGCAGATTTCTGTGAGTTCGAGACCAGCCTGGTCTACAAGAGCTAGTTCTAGGACAGCCTCCAAAGCTACAGAGAAATCCGGTCTCGAAAAACGAAACCAAACCAAACCAAAACAAAAAAACCAACCAACCAACCAAACAAAAAACCCAATACTTCTGGATTTTCTTCCATGCTTTTTGCATATCCCTTGGGTAAATGTATCCCGTTTTCATCATCTATTCTCCTAACTGCTGGATTTTGGCTTCACCCTATCATCATAAAACTACTTCACAGTTACTTTGGCTGCCTGTGTAGGAAGAAGCTCAGGGATAGTCTCTTTCAGCCTGAGACTTCACTGTCAGACTCAGAGAGTGACTGCGACTTTGTGACTGTGCTGCCATGGACAGCAGGAGCATGGGAACAGTCACCTCAGAGTGATCGTGTTTCTGGATAACTCAGAGATAAGTGGCCTCAGTTTTGCTGTTGTTCTCTCTAGAACCCACTTTCCGTCATGCCAGGGAAGGGCGTGGCCTAGAGGCAGCAGGAAGTTGAGATGATATGAACCTTCCTTGGTTTTGTCAGTCAAAGGCGTGCTTCCTGCCAACCCCCCCTCCCCCCAAGACCTTTCCAAGGTTCCCTGGAGAAAGCATCTCTCTTAACTCTGCATTCTTACATTCTTTTCACTACATGAGAATGATCGTACTAATGACTGTATTCCCCTTGCCAGGGGATGCTGCTCATGCTAGCGTTTGCTGCACTTTTGCCATGCTCACACAGTTTCCCTGTTATGGAGACTTTGAAAGTTTGTAATGAAAGGGGGAGGAAAAAAGTCAATGGCCCAGTTTGTCAGGCAGAGACTCTGTTGAGGCTCAGAAAAATGATCTCTGAAAATTGACCTCTCTCAACTTCAAAAGAAGAGCGGCAGAGGCAGGCAAGGAGTTCCTCTGAAGTTTCCTCCTGGACCTCAGAGGACAGATCTTCCTGGAGACAGTCAATTGCTGTGACTCCCTTCCCAAGGTAGCTCATTAGCAGGGAAGACTGGTGTGTATCATAAGGACAAGTGGAGTTGATGCCACTCCCAGCACCCAGAGAAATTTACCCCAGGTTTTCCCATCTTGTTTGAGGTCTATCTGTCTCCCCAAACTCACTTATTCTTTCTCTAACATTACCTACCTCTCCTTTCACTCTGCCTTATGCAGAAGGTAAGAAAGTTTTAAAATCTCTTTCAATGGTTACTTTTCACACTGTCCAGTAATACATTTTCATCCTTCCCTCCTGTTTGTCTACTGCTATGTTATTTCAGCAGGTTCAATGATTGACACACAAGGGGAGAAAACAATGGTTCTTTCATCTCTACATTTCTGTGCTTCTCATATCCCCCTGCTCTGTGTTCCAGCTTCAGTGCTCAGAACTGTCCATTAGTCTTTGGCTTCTACTGGGATATGAAAAGGTTGCCCTATGAGGACTCTGGGTAGATCCCCTCATTTCCCTAAAGACAATGCAAGGCAGGAGGTCACCTCCACTCTCTAAGTTCAGTCTATAATTCTCTGTACTGTTTGACCACTCTGCTACCATTCTCACTTAATTATTTTAATCGTCATGTTTGTCTTTGAGTTCAGCTTTATCACTATCTATTATTGTTTGGTTGATTTTTTAATACTTATTTTGCATGTATGAGTATTTTGCTGCATGCATGTAAGCTTGTCGCATGTGTACCTGGTGCCCATGGAGGCCAGAAGAGAGCATTGGATCTTGTAGAACTGGAGTTACTGATGGTTACGAATTACAACATGAGTTCTTGGAACCAAATGTAGAGCTCCCAAGTACATTATCCTATGAGCCATTTCTCCACCCTTGTTTGGTTGATTTTTGAGGCAGAGTCTCCTTGAATTGCCCTTGTTGCCTTTGAACTCTCGATTTCTCTTTTTCCTTCTGAGCTGGCTGCTGGCTCCAGGAAGCCTAGATTAACTTTCTGCCTTTCTATTTAGAATTTGTTTTTAAAATGACAGGACATTTGTGTTGTTTACTATTTCCATACTATCAAGAAAATATCTAATACTTAGTGATAGTTTTACTTAGTGATAGTTGAATTAAACTGCCCTGGGTTTTTCAAATAATAGGTAGCATAGACTGGTCAGGTATCATTATGATGTCAAATTTCTTGTCTGAATGGTACTTTAGAAAAAGAATTGGTGGGTCTCAGTTTGCAATGTTTTTATCCAGGTTTGGAAACAGCTTCACCATCATTATGAGAAGACGCAAAGAGAGGGTTGAAATACAGATTCATGGACGTTAGTGGAGAAAGGAAAGAACAGCCTTGTCTTCCTGCCCTAGAGATAGGTCATTAGCAATTCTACCTTTTATCTGCTCCTGTGGGAAACCATGATCTCAACAGCATAGGAACACAACATGAAAAACTCCCCCCACACAAAGGAAATGAAAGCGGTATCTCCACCTCATGTCATGGATGCAGAAATCTGAACTCATTCACCTCTCTACTTATCCCAGCTTTGTCAAGGTAAGTCCTTTATTGCACTGTTCCAAAGGCTTTATAGAGGAAGTAATTTACATGACAGTAATTACGTTGCTATATTTAGAAATGTGCTCTTTACTCATTCCTGCTAACTTGCATTTGCTTAAACATTCAATGGGCTTTTGAAAACTCAGAAGGCCTGTATATGTTACTATTTAAAATATGACATTTTGATGAAAGACAATGTCGGTGCATTTTCTGCCCTTTGGAGGTTCTGGGAAGGACCAGAAGAATACTAACTCCAAAGTTCCTTTGTAAATAATGCAGTGTAGAGAAAGAAAAATTGCCTGTGCGGACACAAGCTAGAGTTATTTGAAAGGAGGGAACCTCAATTGAGAAAATGCCTCCATAACATGTAAGGCATTTTCTTAATTAGTGATTGATCGGGGAGAGCTTGAAAGGCCTGGATAAAGAAAACCCCCTCAGCAGACAAAATAAGGCCTAGGATATAGGGTAGCTAGCTTTCCCTATTGGGAAACTAAAAAAAAAAAAAACAAAGACGATAGTAATTGGGGCAACTGGACAGAAACAATACCCATGGAC